TTATAATATTTAATAAATTTAATAAATATAATATATCGATTTTATATACTTATTTGATTGAATTGATACCAAATTGAAGCCAATTTTAGGCTAATTTATGGTTATTTAAATTCCGAATTGATGCCGAATGATGCTGAATTGAGATCAATTTTAAGCTGATTTATGATTATTTAAGTTCTGAATTGATGCCAAATGATGCTGTATTAAGGTCAATTTTAAGCTGATTTATGTTATTTAAGTTTCGAATTAATGCCGAATGATGCTGAATTAAGGTTAATTTTAGGCTGATTTATGGTTGAATTTAATCTGAATGGCTATGTCCGATTGGAATCAATTGGCGTCTATTGACGTCTGAATTGTTGCTGAATTGAGGCCAGTTTTAGGCTGATTTATGGTTGAATTTAAGTTCTGAATGGCCATGACCGATTGGGATCGATCGGCATCTATCGGCACCTGTTTGTGCCGATCAGAAAATATAGCAAATTAGCTATAAATAGTATCAAAATCAGCCTAAAATCAGCCATCTGATTTTTAGCTGATTTGGACTATTTTGTCTAGTGCCTATCAATAACGAGCTAGATCAAGCTATTGATTATGCCAGAAGATGTAGTGGTCAATGTCTAAGAAGGACTAGGCGAATAAATGGTTATAACATATATCTTTGGTCTTGTGAAAATATGCGTATCAATGGAAGTATTCACTAAAATATATCATAAAAAAATTCGAATGATATTTGTTATTAATGCTCTGAATGATTCAGTTCAGTCCAGATTATAGACCAATCTGAAAATGAACTGAAAATTTTGATTCAGTTCAATTCAAATTATAAATCTTAAAAATGCTAATCTAAAACCAAACTGAACCGTAAATCGGTAAAAATCTGAACTGAACTGAAATTTCAGATTAATCTGAAATTTCAGATCATTAGAATGATCTTTTTATCATTCATTTGGAACGATAATTTGATCGTTCCAATTAAACAATTTTCTTATTGTTCATTTGGAATGATAATTGATCATTTCAATTGAACAATTTTCTTATCGTTCGTTTGGAATGATAACTTTAATTGTTTCAAATAAATGATTCTTTTACCGTTCATTTAGAATGATAATTTAATCATTCTAATTGAATGATTCTTTTATCGTTCATTTAGAACGATAATTTGATCGTTCCAATTGAACGATTCTTTTATTGTTCATTTAAAATGATAATTTGATTGTTCCAATCAAACGATTCTTTTATCGTTTGTTTGGAATGATAATTTGATCATTCTAATCGAATGATTCTTTTATCGTTCATTTGGAATGATAATTTTATCATTCTAATCGAATGATTTTCTTATCGTTCATTTGAAATGATAAATTCAATCATTTCAAATGAACGATTCTTTATCGTTCATTTGAAATAATAATTTATTGTTCCAATTGAACAATTTTCTTATCGTTCGTTTAGAACGATAACTTCAATCATTTCAAATGAATGATTCTTTTATCGTTCGTTTAGAACAATAATTTCATCATTCCAATTAAACAATTTTCTTATCGTTCGTTTAGAACGATAATTTGATCGTTTCAATCGAATGATTCTTTTATCATTCATTTAGAATGATAATTTGATCGTTTCAATTGAACAATTTTCTTATCATTCCAAACGATCCAAAATTTCAGATTTTGGATTGAAATTTTTGCAATCTGAAATTGAACTGAAGTTGATCTGAACTGAAAATTTTCAAATTAATCTGAACCATTCAGAGCTTTATTCGCTATGTCACCATAAAAGTAGTGAACGTCAATACTAATATATTTTTGAGGATTTGCTAGGTAAGAAATTCCCGCTATGTAGGACTAAGTTCTTAGATGGACTACATTTAGATGGATATAATAAGGAATTGCATCTTGCTTCTACTACTAAGAGAATGAAAATCTAAAATCACAAAATATATACGATCAAAAGAAGCAGGATATATGCAAGGACTAAGATATATGCCTTATCGAAATGCTATACACATGTGACCTTTTTCCCTATATTAAGTATACACTTATCGAGAAAAGATTCTTAAGAAATTCTTCAAGTTAGGTTGAAGAGAATTATCTTCTTGGCATTTTTCTGAAACTGCGCAGTCCGCAAATTTGCAAGATTATTTTAGAATATCATTAGTAATAGTTCAATATGAAAATAAAAAAGCTTGAACCAGTTGATAGACTTGTATACTATATTAATGAGATTAAGGATGCCAAAAATATAATGGACATTCGAGTGTTTCCCAATGGACTTTCACTTTATTAATCTCTGGCTGTACTAATTCAGGAAAGACTAATAAGGTTCTCAATCTCATGTTTGAAAATAAGCTTTATCAAATGTTTAATGGGAAGGAAGGAGAGACGCGTTATATCAAGAATGATGATTTGCTATTAATTGGCCACAATCTTAAGGAGCCAAAATATATGTACTTTAGTGACTTTTTACATTAATTGATATCAAAATGAAATCATGTTAAAAATAAATATACCTGCCAAATTATCTTTAGAAATTGCAAAGCAGATTGCAAAGGAACAGGAAGAGAATTGCCTTTTCAAAGAATATGTTAATTGCACAGTTCTAATGGATTGGATTTGCAAAAAAGAGCATACTTGAACCACTAGTCTTAATAGTATAAAAAATAATAAAACTTGGTGTTCAGTTTGCAAAGATATCTGATTAAACATTTCAGTTGCTAAAGAGTTAGCTTTGAGTTGAGGTGGAAAATATTTTTCAGAGAATTACATTAATAATTGTACTCCTTTATTATGGACATGCAAAAATCATCATCAATGGTATTCGTCTCTTTTTCAAGTTAAAGACTATGGGCATTGGTGTCATAGATGCAATTATAATAATATTGAAGTTGCAAAAGCATTAGCTCATATTAGAAATGGAGAATGTCTTTCTTCAAAGTATTTGGATAATAAAAATCCTTTACAGTAGAAATGTGTTAAAGGGCATATATGGACTGCAAATTTAAATAAAGTAAAAGATTGCAACCAGTAGTGTCCTACTTGTGGTAGGCGAAATCGGACTATATTTGATATGAAAATTCTAGCATAAAAAAATAATGGAGAATGCCTTTCAGATTAGTATTATGATGCACACACAAAGCTTTTATGGTGTTGCAAGAATTTTCATACATGGGAAGCTCCTCTACTAACTATTTTGAGAGGTAGCTGGTATCGATACTGTGTTGGTACTGCAAAACTTAATATTGAAATTGCCAAACAAATTGCATTATCGAGACAGGTCCAATATCTTTCAGTAGAATATAAGAATATAAGCGCACCACTTCTATGGGCTTGTTAATATAATCATCAATGGTGATCCTCACTTAGTAGTATAAAACATTCTGATACATGGTGTCTATACTGTGCAAGTATGGCCAAACGTACTCTCGATGATGCTAAACAAGTTGCTCTCACTCAAGGTGGTAAGTGTCTTTCAACAAAATACAAAAATAATAGATCTCCTTTATTATGGATCTGTAAAAATTAACATAAGTGATATGCAAAATTTGATAATATTGTGAATAAATGCTCATAGTGTCTGTATTGTAGTAAGTATAAACGTGAAAATCTATGTCATCAAATCCTAATAAAATATTTGGGCCCTTGATTTCTTAAAAACACCGGAGCATTCAATGGGACTACAACTTGACATTCCTTATTATCACTATGGGTTTGCAATCGAAGTACAAGGAGAATAGCATGATAAATATATAGAATTCTTTCATAGAGAAAACCCAAGTAATTTCATCAGACAGCAAGAGCGGGATCAACTCAAAAAAATTTTATGCAAAGAAAATTGCATCGACCTAAAATACATCTGATATTACGAAGATCCACACATAATTATTCCAGAATATCTTCAGGAACTGGGCCTTATAGAATAAAGACAAAACTTTAAATGCTTGTATTTCATTAAAATCCTTATTTTTTCGATATAATAATTTCATGTCAAACCCAATCAAAATGAGAAAAATGGAGTATTATATATACCATCTTAATGAGACCAAAAATTCAAAGAATATGAATCACCCTGCCAGTCCTGCGTTTCCTTTTCATTTGTTAATTTGCAGTGGATCAGATAGTGGAAAAACCAATATGATTCTTAATCTTCTTCTTGGAAATAAAATTCAACGTTTGTTTAAGGAAAAGAAAGGGAGCGGTATGTTAAAAATGATGATCTAGTCTTAATCGGAAAGCATATCCATGAGCCCAAATGGGTATTAGTGAAAAACTGTTACGAAATTTTTTCGAAGGGCCCAAAAACATATCGGGAGAATGTGACATTTCGTGCATTAAAAGTAAATGCAATTCCAGACGTAACTAAATTTTCCCCAGATAAGAATACAGTTGTTGTCTTCAAAGATCTTTGTGCTGAATCAAAGAAAATTCAGGATCGGATTGTTCCATATTTTATTAGTGGCCAACATCAAGATGTATCAAGCATATATGTGAGCCAGAAATATACACAAACTCCTAAAATTATTCGTGAGAATATTTCACACTTAGCTTTATTTCGAAGCTCAGGGAGCCATGAAAATATATGCATATACAGATGATCCAAAAAAAGCATCCAAGATAATCGACAAACATTTGCGAGATCGAAATTTTGTGGTCTTCGATTTTACTAGGGCAACTGATGATCCTCTCGCAATTAGATTAGGTTGAGACATACCCTTAAATTGGATCAATAGGCTCGAAACATAAAAAATCACGTTTCAAAATTTGTAACACGAGAACAAGAATCATGGATCTTTATGTTCGCTTACGAAGTATAAAAAAAATATATACGTACTACCGGTATATGGAAATATAGCGTAGTAGTCCATTTGTATCACAGTCGCCTTACATTGACAGGCATACATACAGAAAATATATAAAGCAGTACCTTTATTGTTTTTTTTTAAAGTTATACATAGTATTTACTTAATATTGTAAATTTTAAACTCATTACGTTCAACCAAAGTATCTTTCTTATTATATTTATTATATGACGACAGAACTGGTACAAGATCTAAAGTAAAATTGTGCATTGCAAGCTATAATTATGTATTGATAAGATAAAATTATTTATATTTATTTTTTTGACTTCCGCTTATTAGGTCGACTCGGTGATGACTGGTTTTGCTTTACTGAGTGTACTCTTCGCTTTGCCAACAATTTTTGGTTTTGTCCAACATACGAATTTCTTACTTCAATATTTTCTTTCATAAAGGACTGAGAATAGATCAGTATTAGTAAAGAGCAATTAACAAAGTAAATAAAACTTTGATGTACTTACAAAAAATTTAAGACATGTTATAATTGCTTCGGATAGCACGAGAAGCTCTTGCCAAGTTGACGGGATATTGAAGGTACCATATTCTCGGAGACAATACGACTTCTGGTGTATTGTTAACCAAAATAACGATACTTTAAAACGGTTACCAAAAGCACTGAAGCATGCGAGGTCTTTGTGATCACATATTCCATTTTTAAGGTGAAAGATTATTCGCTGGTTCAACACATCTCGCATTGTTCTGATCAATTTATAATCGTGAATATGAAATTGAGTAATATCGTCGAAATTTGGTGATCCGGTCTGTTCATACAAGAACACTTCTTCATGGCTCTGCCAGAGACGAGCAAGTCCATCCGCGCACTTTGCTTCTAAAACCTTATCAACAATTGCATTTATACCAGTATTACGACGAGCCTTACTGCTTTCTACCAGAATTTCAAGACTATAACAGTATTATTTCAAAGTTAATTGCAGAGTTAATTACAGCAAACGAATATTTTCCCAGGTGTGTAATTGGGACTTACATTCCCCATTCAACGCTACATATAGTATTCATTGTATTCTCTAATATCAGGCCTATGAATTGCGCATTATATTGATTTTCTCTGAGGTCACCTGATCTTAATATGTTGAATGGTGCTTCGAAAGCTTTGATACTAAAAGAACCCAAATCATTATGCTATAATATTTTACATACAATGGATAAAATCGTAAAGAAACATACTATGGTCCAAGGATGTTGCGGATGACATCCACTAGGTCTTTTTTGTTTCCATCGATCTTTTCGTGAAGTTCACGCCAAGCCTTTTTCCATTCTTCTACGCTATCTCTCGGCTGCTTTTTAACACCAATAAACAAAATGAGTAACGAAGATAAGCAATCAAAAACGATTTTTGTGACATACCTTGAAAAATTCTTGTATGAATTTTTCCCATTCCTCAGATATTTTATGTTTCGGATATGTGTCTAGCACGAATTTATCCTAATATTTTTCCGCAATTCTATCTGTGAAGCTTGAAGTTGGTCTCATATCCATGATGTCGCTATGACATAAACTAATAGCCATTATTGATGATAAGTAAGACTACTATTTCGAGTCACAAGAAATGATCTTACTCACTCAAAGTTGTTTCCGCATTCATCACAGTAATCTTTAAAAATTTCCTCCAGATCAATGTCGTCCATTATCAATGGGGTCCTTTGACTCCTTTCTATTCTCCCAACCATTGATTCCGATGCTTCCCTGGCCAAACCATTCTCCAAGTCTGAGTTAATTATTGTGTCAGTAATGTAGTGAAATTGTAGTATTTGGCAATATACTATAAACATAGTACCTCTTCCATTTTGAGGTTGGTGTCCATCTTCTCGATCTTTCTCGTTCATATTAACATTTTGTTTTATGTCAGCTTCACTCTCTTCATCGATAGACGATGATGTGTCAGATATGGAGGAACCTTTAATCTATTGGTAAGATATGAAAGGTGAGAAGATATTTCATGGTTAAATGGCATTTGCGATTTTCATACTGACTTTTTTGATGCCTTCAGGGACTGTGACATTATTTACACGTTTTTTTGAGTTCGTCTATAAAATAATATATAAGGGTAAACAATTGCCATTTGCTTCTACTAATTTCATGATTGCAACTATTCATACCAGTCTAGTATTGACGTTCGCAATGATAGAACAAGCATTTTCAATGGCAGTATCGACAACTTTTTTGGTGTCATACATTATTGATTTAGAAGCTTCTTCCTGTCATTATGAAAAAAATACAGTCAATACAGGCATAAGTTTGATTAGATAATTCAGAAAAATTAGTTAATAAAAACCTAAAGTTCATACAATTCCTCGTGTAATTCAATTTCCTTCCAAAACGCGTCAACGTCACTAAAATATTCCCTATGCCCCTATAACTCACATAAAATTAGTATAGTATAAATAGGAATGACTAGAGGCATGGGTAGAGACAAGCATAACGGGCAAGCAGACCATAAAGTAGACAGCAAGCAGATGTCCACCGTAGTTGTGAGAGTTTTCCTTTTTCTACAGCGGGCAATCAGACCGTAAGGTGGACAGCTAGCATGTGCCCACCATAGCTGTAGAATCCTCCCTCTGTCATAAAGCCATGCAAAAACGATGATAGAAAAAACTTCACCTTAAATCTTCCGTTAAATATACTAGCACCCTCCTTCATTTTGTCCAGACCATTTGCTATCAAAATACTGAGATCCTTTTTCAGCTTGTCAGATTCTTTACAAAAAGAAAAGGTGAAGTCAGATTGTTGTAATCGATACTCATAAAAGTCCAGAAAATGATAATCTTCGGGACGTGTTTTTTCGAAATAGGCACTCCAAGTAAGAGAAAATCGAGATATGATTTATAAAAAGTGAGTGACAGAATGTAGATTACTTTTATCTAAAATATCATACAAAAATGACACGCGCGTCCGTTTGGCGCAATAATATGATGCAGTAGACGATGACTATTAACAAAATCGGAAGTATCTATTTGGCGCAGTAAATAATTAAAAATTCCACTACAGTCAGGGAATATACCAAATATATCCAGATGATCATTGCCTATTACGGTAACAAATTTGCCGATCAGAATATTCTAGACTTACTCTAATTGATTATGTAGTCAAATTAAAATTTTTAAAAAGCAATAATTTTTTTTATTTTATTTTTATTTTACAATAAACATGGCTAAAAAATAAAATAAAAAGAGGTTATAGTATATTTTCCGATATCCATTTTACTTGATAGTTTGGCCAATTTTGTCAAAGAAATTGATGTTGGATGGGAAATACCTAAATAAAAAA